GTCGCATCGGGGGGGGGGGGCAGCAGAACCGAAGCCGGTAAGACTTTTCATGGCCGCCCAGAACCGTCCATGGCTGCTTGCATTTGTAGTCACACCTATCTGATTGAAGAACACATGAAGCACTTTGTAGAGGTGATTCTTGTACACAGGATTGATGAGTGGATCACTAATGGAGTCAATCAAGATGTGACGGCACTTTGCATCTGCTGCCATGTCTGCCCCTCATACAAATTTGGAGCCATTGCACCTGGGGTGTAGGCGGTGAAGTGCCCATAGTGCTCAAGTTCGATTCGTAGTCCGATGATTCAGTCCCCGAATTTCTGCCTGCCGGTAAGTTTACTACGTTCGTATACACTTTTGTACTTGGGACATTTGTGGACAACAAGGCTGGGGTTTCCGGGGTTTGGGTGCTTGGGTGCTTGGGTGTTTCACGTATCTTATTCAAGAGATCGATTTGTAAAAGTGCATCTTGAAGTTTGACCCAAAGACTATCAATTTCTGCTTGGGATGGGACGACGCTCTGGTGTTTGTTCCGTCGCAGAAGGACTTCAGTCTGAATATAGTTTCTTATTTTCGGAGCTAAGACGAACTTGAGTGAGATTGAGTTTTCGTTCGATTTGTAGGTGTTGATCGCGGAGGTGATTAAGATCGTATTCTACGTTCACCGCCTTTTGTTTGTAGAGAGTAATATCAGTCGTGTGTTCGCAAGTTATTTTTGAGACGACAAGGTGTGCTAAGACTTGAGCTGTTTGAACTGGGATCCCACCGGTATTGAATTCGAACTCTCATGGTGGGTGGATCTGAAGGAGATGGGCGTTGCCGTCCTATAGGTTGTTGTACTTTGGACAACCGGACCAGTGTGTCTCGCAAAAATTTGCAGTTAGGTTGCACACTTCAACAAATATAGTCATTGTGAATTGATTATACTATACTTAATCCAGTGATTCTGGTACCGCTGAATGGAGTTCGATTGTGGAAGCTGAATGTGCAGGATGGTGTTTGTACAGTCGATGCAGAACACTATTGTTATCTGACCCATAACCTGATAGCTCATATGAAAGCTTATATAGATAATATTGTTTACACCTCTTTTAGAGGGGTTTATATGTACATTCTTGGTCATGTATATACACACGTAAGTCCCGGATATAACCTATCTGGTGAGCCTAAGTGACACTATGTTAGTTGTCAATTGTATGTCATTTGCCAGTTCTTATTAATGTACCAGTCTTGGTACCGAACTATAGTTCTATTTGAAATACTGATGACAATATTGATTTTGGCCTAACAACGATAGACTGCAGCCACTAATTTTATTGTGCTTCAGTTCTTTCCATCTCACGGTCAAGATTGATACGATACACCTATCGGAGATGCGCTCGGCTACTAAGCAACCTTCTGAGTTTATTACCCCCGAGTCTGTTGTACTAACTCGATGTTGGTTATAAATGTGACATTTATAAATTCTTTATCATTTACAAATCAATATATTAGGAATATGTAAATCTTCTCATCGTCTGGTTTATCTCCACCCCCTCCCCCTTGTCTAATTCTATCAGCTATGTGTATTTGCGCTCATGCTTTTTACACTGCATCGTTCCAAAACTCTAGCACTCTTACCACTCCTATGTAATATCCGTCTTATATCCAGCGTTCAGAAACAACAGTGCAACAATGCAACAATACAAAACGAGTCAAACGAATTCGTGTTATCCACCAACTCCTTGTCATACAGCTGACACTCTTACATCAGTCCGATTTCGGTACGCTAGCCGGGTGATGTCATTTCAAAGTTACGATTACTTCCAAATGGACATAACATGCTGATTGATAAGAGTAGTCGACTGTTTCGTCTTGACACGTATAAAAATACCGTCGGCCAGCATACAAAATATTATAGTCTCACTGAAGACTACACTCTAATGCCGCAGATATCATCAAAAATAGACGTATGAGAAGCGTGTCTTTTGGAAAGCTATAAAGCGCTAGAAAACAGTATGGCAATAACTATTTCGATTGGCAGAAATACTGCACGGCTCGCTCAAAAATTGAATTCCTACTCCGTAAGAAAAAGACTTCAAGTCATGAAAAAGACCTTAACATAGAATCAATATCATAGTACCACAAGCGATTCAAATTCTGGAGTTACCTCTAACTTTATGCGACATGAGGAAATATATAATAATCCTTGCTAATCCACTGCATAATTATTTGCAGCAACAGCGCGACAACACCAGTAGTACATCGGTCACAAAGATTCACAGCATTCAGTGTATCGAGCAGCTATTATCAGATGCATGTTCACCATCATACAGTGTGCTGCTTCTGTGAGCCATACTCGTGTCTGTTTGTCACGACACGCAAGTATGTAGCAGTATTCCAAACATCGTCGAGATTGGTTCACCGCACTTCTGACGGAAAAGTTCTACATTGAATCAGCTAAGTCAAGCTAGCAAATAGTATATACAGTCAGAACAGCATATAGATACGAACTAAATTTGTCACCATAACTCAAGTGGGACGATTCAAATATTAGGGTTTTTTTGTGACAATTATATGCACGGAGCCGCAAGTGCCTATACTTGAGTGTCACAGTATCCATCTCAAACAAAAGTCTACTGTGCAGATAACAAAAATGTAAACACACTTGAGAGGGTAAATTATGATGATGAAGATCGCGATCGCATGAACTAGCAAGTGGCACAAAACGCCTTGCTACTATACGAGTGACTTTATTAGGCAGATTGAGTGATATTTTATGCTCCTTTTGCCACCATGGGTGACTTTACGCAGTACTGTCTCTTAGAGTTTATAAATACTCTGTTTACTTTGAAAGTGCCAGTCGAGAACAAAACTACTTTCTGACTCCAAATGCTTCCGCGGTAGATACGTTTGAGCAATATCTACAGTGGCAGAACAGCTAACTTTGAATGAGAGGTCTGACTACAATATGTACGTCGGATATCTATAAGTTCGTACATAGAATTCGCAAACATCTCCGTGCCTTTTGCACGATTGCAGGTATGGTGGCGTACAAGGACCTTCTTCAAGTGCTCCTGTTCTTCAATATACGCGGTTTGCGTTAACTACACGCGAGCGATATTGCGGCATCTAGGAGCTAGCCTTGCTTCCTACCTACTCTAAAATGGGGGACACTGTCAGAGCTGATCAACCCAGATTGCGGAAAGTAGAGCAGCAGCATACATTATTCGTGTATTATCCGTTACTTGGACAGCTTGGATTACCGAATAGATTCTAGGTAGTGTGTATACTCACTACTGTCCGCATGCACCTTCATCTCGATCCTCTGTAAAGATAATTGAAATGAGCAAAAAAGGTCGTAAGCATCCAAGTGGAGCGTAATGATGTAGTCAAATGCAATTGCTTTCAACGAGACTGGCTTGAGCTGCTAAGCCCCACTGAGTGGATCAGTAGACTTCAACCGAGATATAGAGTACATCGGCATGTGTAGAAGTGAAGTCGCACTCATTTTTGCCTATTGGCAATTTCGAGGATTACTTAGCAAGACGCTCCCAATACGACAAAAACAATGGAATTGAGAGTACAAACAACCCTCAACGTACCTTATAATCCGACATCCACTTCACCATATTGTTATAACTAGTGGTATTGAACTTCTCGGTCGGCCAAGGCGTTCGGGCATATTCTGATAAGGGTATCGCTTTACCTTTTTTTACCTGAATAAATGAGAGCAATTTATACGCAGTTATGAACACAATTTAAGTTATAAATTCGCAAGCATAGGTCTCGGTCGAATTAACTTTACATAAACATGGCAATATTTAAAGCCTAGGAACACATGCTGTACACCATCGAAATACCATATATATCAGTAGACACAGAACACGTACTCTATCAGAAAATCGAACTCGTCGTTCTTGTCCTTCTTCTTGATTCTCAACTGTGTCAGGCAACTCACCACTACTCAACTCTGGTTTTAATATAGAACCTCTTGGGCGTAGATTCGGATTGGGCACCTTTCTGCCATCATTTAGCTTGGATTTGATCATATCCGACAGACCGGTCAAGGATAATAACTTCGATTTCCGCTTGAGAGTGTGCTTCCTTTCCAGTTCATCAATCACCTGATGATGGAGGTAATAAATTCGACTAGAAATATTAAACAAATGAAGTTAT